TGTGCCTTCAATCATACATAATGTAGAAATGTGATAATATTACACGGTAATTTGAATTATATAGATTGTGTGCCTTCATGTAACATCCAGTGGTGCACTGATCTGATTGCTCACTTGTATCTGTCATTGTTAGAGAATGTGCTATAACATTTGGTAGTTTAGGAGATTTGAGTTTTTATTAATTCATACATTTATCAATTGACATCTAATCATGTTCAAAATTTTTACTCAAATGCTCAAGGCTATCCGAAAATAATACATGATGCTTTCAAAATCGTGATTGGCTTTGTCTTATGGTTAGCATGTTTTTTTTTATTCCTTCGAGTGTCGGGAAACAGTAGGTGTCTTTGTCTTGGTGTACTTGGGCTACCAAGGGGCTGCAAGCAGCAGCAGTAGCAGTGGTGGATTTGATCTAATTGCTTCAAGGGGCAAAAATGCAAAACAGCCCCCGAACTACTGTTTTAACGTAACGGGAAGTTTCCCGGTGACAAATGTGACATGTAAGGATAGACGGTGCGTAAATAGGACACATACGTTGTGAGTTAGAGTTGAAAATGTAATACTAATTTAGTCGTAAAAAGGGGTTCGGAGGGCGAAAATGTAAAACAGCCCCTGAACCACTGCTTTAACGTAACGGGAAGCTTCCCGGTGCCAAATGTGACATGTAAGGACAGACGGTACGTAAATAAGACACTTACATTGGGAGTTAGAGTTGAAAATGTCATTAATCTAGTCAAAAAAGGGGTTCGGGGGGCGAATAAGCAAAACTGCCCCCGAGCACTATTTTTCGTAACGGGAAGCTTCCTGGTGCCAAATGTGACATGTAGGGACAGACGGTACGTAAATAGGACACTTACATTGGGAGTTAGAGTTGAAAATGTCATTAATCTAATCGAAAAAGGGGTTTGGGGGGCGAATATGCAAAACAGTCCCCCGAACTACTATTTTTACGTATCAGGAAGCTTCCCGGTGACAAATGTGACATGTAGGGACAGATGGTACGTAAATAGGACACATACGTTGTGAGTTAGAGTTGAAAATGTCATTAATTTAGTCGTAAAATGGGGTTCGGAGGGCGAAAATGCAAAACACCTCCCGAACCACTATTTTAACATAACAAGAAGCTTCCCGGTGCCAAATGTGACATGTAGGGACAGATGGTACGTAAATAGGACACCTACGTTGGGAGTTAGAGTTGAAAATGTCATAAATTTAGTCGAAAAAAGGGTTTCGGGAGGTGAAAATGGAAAACAGCCCCCGAACCACTGTTTTTACATAACGAGAAGCTTCCCGGTGCCAAATGTGACATGTAGGGACAGACAGTACATAAATAGGACACCTACGTTGGGAGTTAAAATTGAAAATGTCATTAATTTAGTCGAAAAAAGGGGTTCAGGGGGCGAAAATGAAAAACAGCCCCCGAACCACTATTTTAACGTAACGGGAACCTTCCCGGTAACAAATGTCACATGTAGGGATAGACGGTACGTAAATAGGACACATACGTTGGGAGTTAGAGTTGAAAATGTCATAAATTTAAGCGAACAAAAGCGATTCAGGGGGCGAAAATAGAAAACAGCCCCCGAACCACTATTTTGCGTAACGGGAAGCTTCCCGGTGACAAATGTGACATGTAGGGATAGACAGTACGTAAATAGGACACATACGTTGAGAGTTAGAGTTGAAAATGTCACAAATTTAGTCGGAAAAAGGGGTTCGGGGGGCGAAAATGTAAAACAACCCCCGAACCACTGTTTTAATGTAACGGGAAGCTTCCCGGTGCCAAATGTGACATGTAGGGACAGACGGTATGTAAATAGGAATAGGAGTTAGAGTTGAAAATGTCATAAATTTAAGCGAACAAAAGCGATTCAGGGGGCGAAAATAGAAAACAGCCCCCGAACCACTATTTTGCGTAACGGGAAGCTTCCCGGTGACAAATGTGACATGTAGGGATAGACAGTACGTAAATAGGACACATACGTTGAGAGTTAGAGTTGAAAATGTCACAAATTTAGTCGGAAAAAGGGGTTCGGGGGGCGAAAATGCAAAACAACCCCCGAACCACTGTTTTAATGTAACGGGAAGCTTCCCGGTGCCAAATGTGACATGTAGGGACAGACGGTATGTAAATAGGAATAGGACACCTACGCTGGGAGATAGAGTTGAAAATGTCATTAATTTAGTCGAAAAAAGGGGTTCGGGGGGCGAAAATGCAAAACAGTAGGGACAGCCCCTGAACCACTATTTTTACATAACGGGAAGCTTCCCGATAACAAATGTGGCATGTAGGGACAGACGGTATGTAAATAGGACACATACGTTGGGAGTTAGAGTTGAAAATGTCATAAATTTAGTCAGAAAAAGACTTTGGGGGGCGAAAATGCAAAACAGCCCCCGAACCACTATTTTTATGTAACAAGAAGCTTCCGATGCCAAAAGTGACATGTAGGGATAGACGGTACATAAATAGGACACCTATGTTGGGAGTTAGAGGTGAAAATGTCATGAAAAAAGTGTTTTGGGGGCGACAATGTGTTTATGTGGTAGAACATGAAATGCCCATGTCGTGGGTAACTATTTTGGTTATACCATCTTAAACTATACTTTGTTTAACTCTTTCCTTATTAGTTTATGTTGAACAATATTTTTGGTAAATTGTTTAGTGTTTTTGTTGACTGTGGCCCTTTTAATTGCCATAAACATAACTTTTGGCATTAATTCATAGAATCGATGCTCGTCTACCGGTCCGTGTTTGGGTGTCTTTCATTATTTAATAGCTATTACTCTCCTTGTCTTTTAATGTTTGAAATTAATACAGTTGCTATATGTCGTCCAGAAGTGCCTCTATAGGCACCAAACTAATGAAATTTATTTTTTTTTTGCAGTTGGTTTTGGACACTCAAATGTAGATATGATTTTGTTTTGACAAGTATAGGAGGGCATTGTTTTCATACCTCTATCCATATATATAGTGGTTCGTACAAATTACTTTTTTTGTGTGGTAAATATCAGCTAATTTGGCATGGTAGAAATTAGCATAGCATGTGGTATAAAATAGTTTTGGGGCAGTACAGATTAAATTTTTGTTGTGGTACATGTCCTTTTTGTTAATTAATTTGGTTATTCCTGTATTATGTATGGAATTAAATTATTGACGTTGGATTAAACTTGGTTCGTATGGAATTTGTATTATATATAGAATTGGACGTTCAATATTAATTTTTTGGATGGTTGGAAGTGTATGTGTGCACGTTGTTGAATGGTTGAATGGTTGAATGGTTGATAATATATTTAGCGTTGATGGATTATATTGTTTATACAAGGTACAAGTTATACTAACAATGGATACAGGTTATACAAATTTCAATATTAGTTTTTTGGTGTGGTACAGATTTCCTCTATTATGTATATTTTTAAATTATTGAGGTTGGAATATACTTGGGTCGTATGGAATTTCGAGCGTACAGGCCAAAAATCTGGGCAACTAGTTTTGGTTTCTAAACTCAACCAACCTGTAACAAGCCCGCTCAACACATCCTATAACTCAAATACAAAGTAAGAAAGGATGTAAACACGATAATAAACAACTACCAACATCCACGGACACATGTCCGGATCACTATACAACAAGGGTAAACCCGGGATCGCTATATGTGTGGGGGGGTGGTGGGGGTTAGTGATTGAGGGGGTCTCAATCACAGTCCATTTAGTATTGATGGATTTTATTGTTTATACATTGTATAGGTTGTATTAATAATGGATACAGGTGGTTTAGAAATTTAAAAATAAATAAATAAATAAATTTATTTGTAATATAGTATTTGGCTATTAACTATTTTGGTAGCCAAAAACTATTTTCAAATGTTTTGGCCACTAATAATGTAGTAGCAAAATGAATAAAAGTTGGTAGCCTTTGGCCACTAAATTACATGGTTGGCAAATAGTTCAATTGGCGACTAAATACGGGGCTAAAACTTTAGTCTCTAAGTAGTTCAAATTAGTTTTGTTATAACTTTTGGCGACTAATATTTTGGTCGCCAAAAATATTACCTTTGCCAACTAACCCAACTTTAGTAGCCAAACGTTGACGTTTGGCGACCAATAATTTAGTAACCAAAACATTTAATTTTGCCGATCAACTAAAATTTAGTAGCTAAAAATTACCTTTTCAGCGACTACTTTCTTAGTGGCCAAAAGATAACATTGCCGACTAAAAAAAAATAGTAGCCAAATATTTCACTTTCAGCGACCAAACACAAGTTTAGTCACTAAAACAATCGCCGACAGGGTTTAGGCGACTAAATTGGCAACAAAAAAAATTAGTCGCTAAATGGTATCAGTGACTAAAAATGCGACCTTTGGCAACTAATATTTTGGTCGGCAAAACTGTTATTTCTTGTAGTGTTTGTAGGCAACATAAAGGTGAATATGGTGTGGACTATTTGAAATTGGACACTAAATGATAAAATACTGTGAAGGCAGTGTGTTTGTTGAGTATTGGTCTGTGATTATATTTAATGTGAATAAAAGACCATGGATTGAGCTGCAAGTAATTGTTGATGCTGCATGTAAATAGCGTTGTTAACATAGAGACAACCTGGTTATCCCACATTATATCGTCCCTATTGGCTTGGAACCGTACATGTTTTTTACTTCACGTAATAACCCTGGGATTGTTTAGTTACTCATTGTGATTGGAATGTCTGTAAAACATATCACTTGAAGTAGTGGGTTTTGGGTTAATGTTTGGTACAATGTGGACACATAACACATAAAGAAAATGTAACACACCACTTGACGGTACAAAAAACGAGCGTCAATGTTAGGCAGCACCATGTTAGCCATCATATTGGAGTAGCACATTTATTAAAACTGTGAAACGGTAAAATGGTTTGCCAATTTAAAACGCTTAACAAAACTTAAAAACAAACAAATGCGGCTGTCCAAAAAAAAATCCCGTTGTGGAAAATATTTAATCACACAGCATACCGATCTCCCTACATCGGCTCTTTGCATGTCTTCTTATTGTGATTGCCTAATTTTCCACAACGGATACATTGAACTATCTCGCCTTTTGATGGAATCCTCTTCCATTTGGGCCTACCCGGAGGACGCTTCACTGTCGGCGGAGCTATCATATATTCAGCTAGGGTGGCAGTTGGCTTGTCCACTGTTGGGATAGGATATATCATTCCGCTGTATGAAGACCAGTACATTTCAATGTGGAATGCACGATCTAGGGAATCATATATGTTCCTCCCGCTATTACGGAATGCCACAATTGCGTGGGAACACGGGAACCTATTTATCTGCCACTGAAAACAAGAACACTTCCGTGTAGCCATATCAACCAACACCGACGGGTGGGAGTGAACCTCGTACACATCGTCATTAGCCTGACTAACACACCATGGCCTGCTATCGTTATACGCCGCCACCAATTTCTTCTCCATTTTTGGGCATAATATGCCGAGCCATGTCATGCTTTTAACTCTACGGCCTACCATCTGCTCCATTATTTGAACCCGAATCATATCTACTAGGCGAGTAATAGGAAGATGGCATGCCCCACTGACCCAATTGTTGAAGGACTCGGTAGCGTTTGAACACATTTCACCGTACCGCTGCCCCCTGGAAAATAACTGAAATCGATGGGTAAACATGCCAAGCACGAAAACATAAATCCAAAAAAGCAACAGTGCACTATTGTACCCCATTAGCCGGAAATGTGTATTACCTGAAATACGCGTTAGCCAAATGTTTGGGGTCCAAGTCTTTCATAAAACCTTCAATCACAGCCGGGCTGCACTTCTTCAAAACATCCATTTTCTCAATGAAACAATCAACAATGGACGCGTAGCCACATTCCCGCAATTTGCGCATCAACCCAATTTTGTGGGTCGCATTAACATATTTCAAATGGTCTCGTAGATTCATTTGGAGATGCAACAAACAATATGCGTGATGTGCCGATGGAAATATGTTTAACATAGACTGCAATAAGCCAGCGTGACGGTCAGATATGAACGTTAGAGTACGGTCCCCACCAATAACTTGTTTCAAATTCTGAAGAAACCATTCCCAATTGGCTGCATTTTCAGAATCAACCACCACAAACGCCACAGGAAATAATCCTACATACAAAGCATGAGACACGTGAAACACCCACGTTCAAATGTTGTTGACAGGGAAGTTACATATCAATAAAAAGTTGTGCAATGTCTAATGTCATATATTACAAATTTAAAAAAACAATGAATGACCATGTGAATATGTTTCCCAATACCAACAATGGTGTCAATTCCATGCCAACCTGATTAATGGAAAAAATAGTATGGGTAAATTTATTTTAGCAATTTTATTTTTGAAACATATCGATACCGTGAAATTACCTTGATTGCCATCTTTCACAATAGCGGCAAGCAAATTACCTTTGAACCTGCCTTTCAAAAACATTTCATCCAAAAACAACAAAGGCCGACAATGCTTGAATCCATCTATACACGCACGGAATGAATGAAATACCTAACAAACCTCCCGATATTCTGTTCGAAGTCAAGGTTAAAGTAACTGTTTGGGTTTTTTTTCATAACGGAATCGTTGTACCACCTGAGTTGGTTGAATGACATAGCGTGATCCCCATACACTTCACCCCTCACTTTCTCGACACCCAACCATGCCACCTGGTAACTAATCTCCAATCCATACTCATTTCTCAAATTGAACACCACATCCGTAGGGCGTGTCAAAGGTTGATCACGCACCCAATCTGCAATAATGTTAGACACCAAATCAGACCCCGTACGTAGGTTCCTGTAAGTGCATACAGCAACGCCACAAGTGTGCACGTTATCGAACCTCTTAATGCTAACACACCTCTTGATGGTAACATCCTCACATGAACTGACCATTTACACCCTATGGCCTCTACGAACTTATACACGGCTATAATGCGAACAGAATCATTTTTAATGTACTTGAATTGGAATCCACGCTCCACAGCATACTTGCATAGAACTTCACAGAACTCATTTGGTCCGCCATCAAAACATTGTCCTACGTGGGTAATCTCATACGCCCATTGAGCCGACAAAAACATCTTACCCGTATTAGGACAGTATGTTGGTAACAAATCCCTATGATCATCCCTGCCAATATTCTGAATATCATCTTGGTCATTTCCACCATCCTCCGTACACTCAACCACTCCGTAATTGCCGCCCATTTCAACACTCCGTATCTGAATGAGTACCTCGATGTGATTTAGTCCGAACGATTTACCAAGGCACAACATGTTTCAAATGTCATTATCACTAACAACCTTAAACTTCTTATACCCGGGAACATCGAACAACAAACACACAGCCCCATGTACCAACCCATCAAATTTTTCACAAATATTATCAACAATCTGTGCAAATGACACCGTGCGATTCTAACAACCCTTATTCGTAATTAGCCACTAATCCATATTTAATGGTGTTAATGAGAGGATTAAAATAAATTATGTGTTTATTCTGTACTTTGTATGATTTTGGCTTTTTATCTGTTACTTATAGAAATATCTGTTTGGAATTTCACTTTAAGCTGTAAATTGAAAGCCTTATCGGCATCCGAAATCGAAATTGACTACACCGATGTGTTTTTTGAAATTTTTAGAACTACATGACAAATTTTATTAAAAATTGATTCAGTCTGATTAATTAAGTCATGTTTGGTTAGCCTAATATCCTAATTAATGTGTTTTAGCACCATAAGCATATATATGAGACATAAGCTCATTTTGAGCTCATTTTCTTTTATCCCTTAAGTGTAAAAATCTGGTGAGACATTTTAGAGAGAAAGGGAGCACAATTCTAGAGAGAGAGATGGAGAGATTGTAGAAGAATTGAAGGCTATTGATCAAAGATTGTGCTAGAACAAGAGTAATTCAAGACTCTAGGTAAGATTACAACCTCTAGATTGTGTAACTAAGTCATTTAACACAAAATTTCTTCAAGATTATGAGTCTGATGTGTATATTGAGCTTAGAATAAAGATTTAGAGTTAATTCATGCATGCATGTACATTTTCTTACAAATTGAGCATGATTTCCATGAATCCTCTCTTGTATGTTTGAAATTCACCTTCATTTAGGGAAATCATCAAGTTTCAAGTTGTTTTGTGGTGTTAATCATGTTTGGAGAAGTTTGCTACAAAAAAAATTCATGCATGTTGTGTTCATGAACATTCATCATGTTTTAAGTTGAAATTGTGAGTTTTTAACAAACTCTTGGGCCATGATTTTATGAAATAATTCTTAATTCATCATGGTTTACAAGTTTACTATGTTATCTCAAGTTTTGGGGCCCAAGAGATGTGTTTTGAAGGTTGCAATTCGAGTTTTGAGCTTGAAGGTGCAATCTGGAAATTTCAGAATTTGCATCCACACTCGAGCGTGGGAGTTCACGCTCGAGCGACCACTAACCAAAAGTCCGCTCGAGCGTGAATTGCAAGCTCCCAGAAGTTTCATGTCTTTTACAAATCGCTCGAGCGAAGGAATGTGCGCTCGAGCGACCATTCACATTTTGCATGTCCGCTCGAGCGAGGAAAGCTACGCTCGAGCGTGGACCTTATTTTTAGAAATTTGACTAAGTGTTCCAAGGCATGTTTTGGCATCCTCATTGCATCTTAGGCATTCCTAAGCCTTAATTAAGCCATAGTAATGAGGTTATGGATTAGAAATACACTAAGAAAAGAATGTACCAAGTTCCGAGACTGCAAGTGTGTGTGTTTTAGGCAATGTGATAAGAAAGAATAAGAACCAATGTAATGAAAGCTAAGTCTTATTGGCCACTTGAATATGTAATGATAAGACCTGCTTGTGTTATGTATTTTGTGGTTGTAGGTTAAGACTCGAGGACTAATTGACCGCTTACTGGAACCACTATGAGTACGTTATTGTAAAGATACGTTCATATGAATTACGTTCCAAATGAAATATGATTAAGTTTTGATTTATGAAATGATATCTATTTTCGTGAACGGATATTTCATGTTTGAAATCTATTATAGCAGCCATAGATAGTCCCAAGTCATGGGGGATGGCTTGAAAATGCGGGTCCATGACATACAAGTAATTACGAGATCTCGTTAGCCACTTCATTGTGGTGATATGTGTTTAATCGGTATCCAGAACCGATTACTCTAGTCGGAAGACGTTCTATGATGTATTCTATGGGATGTACCATTATTATGTTCTGATATGAGAATGATTATGCTCTGGTCTGTTTCCTGCTTATGATATATTCGGATTTCGTTCACTAACCCCTTTACCTTAATGTTATTCATTGGGCTTTAGCTCATTGTGTGTATATATATGTATAGGTGAGCATTCTGGAGCCCGAGCCTGAAGGCTTTTGTCTGGATCTGTGTTCTGTTGGCAGCCAACTATTGTGCCTTAGGTGGAGGTTCCCAAAGCGTCCTGTGTTTAAGTTCTGTAGTTTCTGTTTATTTAAGACTTGATTTGATGTCGTTGGCTGTACTTAAAATACTGTAATGTGTGTGGGTATAATGTATGACTACCGGTTATGTACATAAAGTTTTAAATATTCTGTTTCATATAAGTCAGCACAGCTCATTGGACAACTATATTTATGTATTTGCTTCTGCTAGCCCCTTAATCTTGTTAATCTGTTCAGAGGCCTTCGGTAATACAGGGATTACTGGCCGGTTACGATGCTAAACCTATAGGGGCGGGTTTGGGTCGTGACAGCGATGCAACCAAACAACAATATTGTCCTGCCCGTAAGTATACACCAACAGTATTCCACCATCCAAACCTGTTAGACCGACAATTGCAAACCCATTACAATGGAAACATAATCCATAAAATACAAACCATTAAATTCCATTCCACATGGCATTTGTGATGTTAATCTAGCACAACCCACCCATACACCCAACATTAACTCAGCAAACAAGAACAAAAAATGAACCAGTAAAAACATAACAACCCAAACATGGCCACCCACAAATCAACACCATTGAGAACACACAAACATACGAACGTGAAAATACACCAAACAAATAATAGCCAATCACCTGTTACAATGGCGGAACCCACACCAGTACGAACCCACTAAATAGACACCACAAATCGTAGGAGCATTGCGCATAATATAGAACCAGAAAAACCAGTAAAATGGCCCGATGAAATGATCACTGTTACGGACAATGGTTACCATTGGAAGAAATCACCCACACCAGACTGAATGCCCACCACAAATCTTCTCTTAGAAACTAATTAGATCAATGTAAACCACTCAAAATCCCCCGAATACATTGACATTTCCTTATCCACCCCAAAACAGAATAAACATTTAGGAAACCAAACTTGCCAAGGGTATTACTGTAAACTTATATGGGATCAAATCACACTCAAAAAACTTGCCAAAAAAATGGGACTAAATCGTCTACAACAAAACTCTTAGGACTAAATGGTTTAACTTACCTTCATATAGGATTTATGGGTAATTTTTCCATAAGAATAAAGAAAGAAAGAAGGTGAAAAATAGAGATTTTTTATGAAAACATTTCTTTGTCCAATAAACGTTGTGGTTCTATGGCTAATTCTAATCCCAATTTGCTACTTTTAATTGTATTTGCCCATTCTATTTTTTATTTTTTTTCAAATTTTCAATTTCTTAGCTAAATTATTCAAGCTTTTAACTAACTTTTAAATGATTTGGCCAAAAATTTTACAGAATTTGAGTACAATAATTGGAAGTGTGTAAATTTTTTTCTAATTAATATTTTATCCTTTTTTTTGTAATTGAACAACCATGTTTATCTTCAAGTTTATTTTTATGAAGATTAAAATTATATTTGGATCTTGGACTTGAGAAGAAAAAGAAAACGAAAAAGGAAAATTTATAATTTAGTGGTTAATTTAGAAAATAATTACACATATATAAAAGAATGTACCAAGTTTCGAGACTGCAAGTGTGTGTGTGTTTTAATCAATGTGCTAAGTATGAACAAGAACCAACGTAATGAAAGTTAAGTTGTGTTGGCCATGTGAACGTGTAATAATGAGATATGTTGTGTTATGTACTTTTGTGATTGTAGGTCAACGTCTAAAGATTGATTAACCGTTTGCGAGAACCACTGTGAGTAACGTTATCGTAAAGATACGTTTATATAAATTATGTTCCAAATGAAATGTGATAAGCTAGAACATGCTCATTTTTTTATTTTTTTTTTAAATATCTCTCACTTATTTTCTACTTTTTCATAATTCTAAAATACCCTTCTTAATATGTTGTCCCTGAAAAGGCACCATATAGCAATAGTCATAGGCACCATGTAGGAACAGACAATAAGACTTGAATTTTTGTCAATGATCGTTTTACGATTTTCATCCTTTAGAAAACTTCATATAATAATAATAATAATAATATTTGAAACTCTTAAAAAAATCTAATTTAATCCACAATAATGTGACATAATTGATGCTAATATATGTTAATTTTTAATTTGTCACACACTTAATTATAGTAGTAGATATAGTGTCCAATTGTCTTGCCACATTATTATAATTGAATTTATAGATATAAAATTGTGGATCTCTAACATTTTTCATATAATAATACATGATTTTATGATTGAGTTTTTCAAAAATTCAAATCTAAATTCAAATATAAACTTGAAAGAATTTGACGGGCTCGTGAGGCTCACCACAAGTTCTGTTTTAATGATCTAAATTATTCATTTTGTACGACCCTTGTAAATTTTATTGTGATTGTCTAAAAAACATACTTTATTTTTAAAAATATATTTGCCGTCTATTTTTTTAGAGACGTGTGATAAAATAAAAATGTTATTCTTATCTGATCAATCTAATTTTTTCTTTGAATGATATATACTTAGGGTTCTACAGAATAACTGGTTTGAATCATCGAAACAGAACTTTTAGTAAGCCCCACGAGACCGTCAAGCTCTATCAAATTTAAACTCAACCCTAATTTTAAAAGTTAAAAGTTAATATTATTTATATAGACTGAATGGTCATGCTTATACAAATCATTACAAAATTAAATTGAATAGACACATCTATTAATTAAGAGACATTTTATCTTCTATATAAGGTGTAAGTTCTTCATTATTTTTCACATATGCAACTTGTACTTATGTTTACTGTATAAGAGAGAATCTAATCACTTTTTGATAACACATATTTATTTT